AAACGGATAGATGCATGGGGGTGTTCTTTGCATTACCCTCATTTTTCTATCAAATTTCACAACCTAAAAGATATTCACATCTTGCAAATTTCAAGGTCACTGTAAGGATGTTAAAAAATGATAAAACAAGAAGAATAAAATATCTTGCGACAAGTTTTAGAGAACAAAGAATATATAAACATGTCAACAGAATTGTAGAACCAGCAAAACAAGTGTAAAATTGAAACAAAGACAATATCTACTCAAGATTCCCTGAAAAAGTACAAGGAGAATAAGACCAGGTGTTCCGGAAGAATAGGCATCTTCTATTTTTAGTTATGGTGACATATCATATTTGTTTTAGAAAATTGGCACTCTTATGCAGTCATTTACAAACAATCTGGAAAATGAAGCTGCCCAATATTTGTATGTAGCATGTTACTTGCATGATGGTCTAACTAATGGCCTTAAACCAATAAGATACGCAGTCTTTAAAGTGATAATATGGTGTCCAAGATCAACATTTCCTACAATGTATCCAAAGAAATGGACAACTTCCCTATCATTGCATCTTGGAGCCTACTTGGGACATGTATTACATAAGTAATACTACTATGCTTGTTATTTCTGATATCTGCTGGTCATTTTTTATGGGCTGCAATGATTTACTGCTTGCATATAGTTGGTTTCAGTATATAGCAAGCTAATAACAAAGAACTTATTTTTTCAATGGTCTTAGCATACCAGTACTTTCAGTACTTTGATTTAAAACATGTTGAATACTGTTTGACTGTTGATGGTCGCCATGATGACAATATGATCCGTTCAACATCTGGCGGAATTGACAACATTCGGAGGGATCTCCTGACACCCGACAAGCCATTAATGTCATCTTTGGAAGGTTGTTCCTGTCCCTGGTTCCTCGGTGTGGATGACCGAGGATTCTGTTGACCGAACGTAAAATAAAAACACAATCAATAATACAGTTCAGAAGATGTGAATACCATGGCTGAGTAGGCCACATTGGTGCTATTAATAAAGCTTGTGTTTTATCCTCAACATATTTTGTGGAGAATTTTACCCAATAAAGAGAATGTCCGAAAAATGAAACTGTAAGTGTTCCATGGTAATGTAAAAGCATCCACTGCACATGCAAAGGGACCAGGCTTCCAAGATACATACTTGGGAAGGTGTGCATTCAGTCTGGAAGCAAACAAATCAATTTGTGGTCTGCCCCAAATTTTCACCAAGATTTGAAAAATACTTTTTTTTATATTGTTTTTCCAATATTACTTCACTATCCTAACATTTGTGGATGATCCGCTTTATCCACATACCCCGAGTGGTCAAGTATGATTCTATCTGTATTTTGCTTTATCTGGAAACCAATGTACTTGAAGTACTATTCCTCTGCTATCCCAGCTAGAAATTACTCTCTAATCCTTCATTTCTTTGAATCATCACCATGACAGCATATTACTCCAACAAGGATTCCATCTAACACTCCATCTGTTCACTCTTCATCACCCACGAATGCTGTAGACCAAATTTGGGGGAAAACAAATCATTCCTTCTGGAAAAGTATGATTTGAAAGGATTTGCTCTTATTTCCTTATTTCCCAAATTGGACCCTCCCTTCCCGCCCCAGGGGCCACGAGACCAAACATATATGCAAAACTGATTCCACTTCACCGAAGAATGCTTCAGGCCAAGTTTTGGCAAAATCTAATCATTACTACAGGAAGAGTAAGATTTAAAAGAAAGAATAATAAAAAAAACCCACCTCTATCGCATACTCTACTGCCATGGGACGAAACCCATCGTTTACACAAAATTGATTCTGCCTCGCCCAACCTAACATTCCTGCAGGAGGGGTAGGATTTTAAAGTATTTGCTCTATTTCCCCCTATTGGGCCCCGCCCATCCCGCGCTGGGAACAGCTTCTGTATAAATGGTGGATATCTGGCCGCCCTAAGGGACATGAGAGCCGGACATAAAAAGGAAAGTTTTGAACTTCCTACTCCTCCTGTAGGATTGATAGTATTTGATCCACATTTGGTGTGAAGCATCCATGAGTGAAGTGGAATCAATTTTGTATAAGCATTTGGTCTCGGGTTCACAATTTATCCGTGATCTGTGAAATTAAAATAGCAGCTCAATGTATTTTTTTTTCTTTTTGAAATGACCTTAATCAATTGCAAGTGGATCTTTTTCGCGAACTATCGACTTTACATTGTTAGAGTATTTCTGGATTCATACCGCTGGGGAAATCTGGCTGGTTAAATTTATATACACAAAGATAATCAAAAATAAATTTATGTCAAAGAAGTTTGGCAGAGTTATTTCCCTTCACATAGAAAGTGGATTTTTTCGGGAATTAGTTAAACCCTAGTTACCCCCTCAACGCCTTAATACAGTTTTAATATAACCTGATATTACAAGCATCACAACTAAAACGGATTCGGGGAATGATTCATTCTCGTGTTTGAAGCTAAAGAAGTAAAGATGAGACTGTCGCTCATTCTTGATATCAACAAACCGTGTATAAATACACCGACACGTGCATGTTTCAAACTTATGTCCAATTTTGCCAGCATTTTCCGTCGTTGTAATGTAACCATCCCTTTTCCCAAACAAAGCGGTGGAGTGTAACTGTAACCAACACATTTTCCTTTACCGGTGTGAACAGAAGCTTCTGATGTTATTCTCTCTCTCTTTCTCTCTCTGCCTTTTTCCATTTATGGAAATAATTCGCATATAGGGAATTAAATATATCTCGTTATTTATTTTTTTTTAATTTCCGAGATCTCCGAGTGTTTTTTTTGTGACTATTTTTAAAAATATCACAAATATTAGCCATCTTGTTGTCAGATCAGACCCAGAACATATTATGCATAATAATGCCTCAGGATGGGCCTACATATAAAATATCAGAACTATCTATCAGGTAGTTCCTGAGAAATAGCGATAACAAACTTTGACTTCCAAAATCCAAGATGGCCGTCTGTCACAAAGAAAATATCATTTAGGTTGAAGTTTCAGTAATAAAAAACAGGTTTATGAATATAAAAATGATATTAAACTCATGAACACAAATATGAACAAAAGTATTCGTAAATAATTGTAAATGCAAATTTTCGACAGAATCAAACAAACAAGAGGCCCATGGGCCTAAACGGTCAACTGACTACAAAATCTTACCCATGGTCTGATAATCTAAAAATGACAAACATTGAAAACTCACTTTTCCACATCTGGACACCATAAAAGAATTTCAAAAAAAGGTAGAGCTATTTGGTAGCAACCTTACCATATATCAAATCTTTTAATTCGTCAATGAAAATTACAACACTGCATGATAGTGTCTTGACAAAAGAAAAGGCCCAATATTCTTAACAGTCACCTGGATTCCATTAACATTGTTTGTGCTGTGTTACATATATCACATAAAACATCTTGTTGGCATAATTAACTGTCATCCTATATTATGGATTCTAATGGAGTTTGAATTAGAGAAGAAAAAAATTCTATATAAGCTTCCAACTTAATACCCCTCCCCTGGGGAAAATGCAAGGATCACGAAATACATTATTTGGATTAAAGCATCTCAAAAACTCTTCATCTATGAAAAGTATTGGAACTTCCAATTCTGAGTGTTGAGGAGATTTTCGATAATTTGATTCAATTCGACACCGCCCCAGTCCCCTAGGTCGGAGACATTGTAATTCATTCATTTGGTTAATCAATGGCCATGAAAATATCTACCAAATTTCACTAAAATTGGCTCAGGGTTTTTCAAAAAGAATTAAAAAATGTAAATTGTTTTACAATAGATGGGCAAAATGCATAAAAATTCTTTAAAACTTTTTACTATCTAGTATGAAATGCTGCTTAATTAAAGTAATAACAACCCTACCAATGTTTTATAAACAGGAGGCCCACAGACCTTACCAGTCATCTTGATATATAGACCTTTATATGAAAGGGACCAATAAGACTGAGATAAACCACTCAACTACTCTAAAAGCTTACAAAGAAGATATTGTTTGGTCATAAAAAACATTTCCTGCAAACTTACAGTCATATTCTTGGTAACTGTTTATTCCATGCTGCTACAGGCCTATTGTCAGAGCCCTGGACCTTTTGGTTATTGAGAAGTTATTTAATTGGAAAGTGTACGCATGGCAGGCAGTGGACAGCGACCGATGAAACATGATGGCTATACGTCATCCTGACCCTTCGGTTCAGATGACTTAAAAACTTTTGAGTAATGAACAGCATCATTTAGCAGAATTTGTTACATACCATATCCATTTTCATGTAGGCTCCCTTTGCATGTGTAAGACAGAACTTATTTGTAAACTGCTTTTAGCTTGCTATTTTAAATTTGATGATTCTACAAAAATGAAGGGGGTTTATTAGTGGGCAGAAATAAATTTCAAGATAAGTATGGTATTCCTTTTCCTTTTCTGTGTTACACTTTTAATAACGAGAGTTGAAAATGTATCATCAACATCTTGCACATTCTTGACAGGAAATTTACATACTGAGCATATTGAAATGCTGCAAACTTGGAAACTCATCCATCCTCGGTCAAGTCAATGGAAATATACTGGTTATCTACAAATAGCAGTGACACATTTTTCTTCCTTTTGATTAAAACTAAAATTTTTCATCACGAGGTTAAATTCATGCAAAATACCATCTGCATTTGCAGCATTTTGCTGTTTAAAAATACTTTAATCATTGATATTTTTGGTATCAACAACTTGAAAAGTAAACTCCATTGAATGTTGTCTTTTTTGTATATAAAATTGTTCATGGTGGGGTAAAAGTTCTCCATCAAATGGTGCTGGACATAATGAATATATACAAAACACTACTCCAGAATTTCTATACAAAACTGCACTATGACATATATATCGACCTTGATCTTAGTTTATTCAAGATTGTTGCATGAAGGAATGACAACAAATACATGAAATATTAAAGAATTATAAGACATGTGGTCAAACTTAGTATTAACAACATAAAGAGGCATGCTTTTCAACAGTCATGTTTAATGCTTGCGCCAGGTTTGACAATGTTAATAAAAAGTTGGCATCTGATATTGGGACATCTGCTGTGCTGACATCTGATATTGGGACCTCTGCTGTGCTGGCATCTGATACTGGGACCTCTGCTGTGCTGACATCTGATACTGGGACCTCTGCTGTGCTGACATCTGATACTGGGACCTCTGCTGTGCTGACATCTGATATTGGGACCTCTGCTGTGCTGACATCTGATACTGGGACCTCTGCTGTGCTGACATCTGATACTGGGACCTCTGCTGTGCTGGCATCTGATACTGGGACCTCTGCTGTGCTGACATCTGATACTGGGACCTCTGCTGTGCTGACATCTGATATTGGGACCTCTGCTGTGCTGACATCTGATACTCTGACCTCTGTTGTGCTGGCATCTGATATTGGGACCTCTGCTGTGCTGGCATCTAATATTGGGACCTCTGTTGTGCTGACATCTGATACTCTGACCTCTGCTGTGCTGGCATCTGATATTGGGACCTCTGCTGTGCTGACATCTGATACTGTGACCTCTGCTGTGCTGACATCTGATACTGGGACCTCTGCTGTGCTGACATCTGATATTGGGACCTCTGCTGTGCTGGCATCTGATATTGGGACCTCTTCTGTGCTGACATCTGATACTGGGACTTCTACTGTGCTGACATCTAATATTGGGACCTCTGCTGTGCTGACATCTGATATTGGGACCTCTTCTGTGCTGACATCTGATATTGGGACCTCTGCTGTGATGGCTTCTGATATTGGGACTACTGCTGTGCTGACATCAGATATTGGGACCTCTGTTGTGCTGGCATCTGATATTGGGACCTCTGCTGTGCTGACATCTGATACTCTGACCTCTGTTGTGCTGGCATCTGATATTGGGACCTCTGCTGTGCTGACATCTGATACTGTGACCTCTGCTGTGCTGACATCTGATACTGGGACCTCTGCTGTGCTGACATCTGATATTGGGACATCTGCTGTGCTGACATCTGATATTGGGACCTCTGCTGTGCTGGCATCTGATACTGGGACCTCTGCTGTGCTGACATCTAATATTGGGACCTCTGCTGTGCTGACATCTGATATTGGGACCTCTGCTGTGATGGCTTCTGATATTGGGACTACTGCTGTGCTGACACCAGATATGGGACCACTGTTCTGCTGACATCTGATATTGGAACCTCTGTTGTGCTGGCAACTGATATTGGAAGTCCTGGTGTTGTACCATATGTTGTTTTATCTCCAATCAAATTAATGTCTGAACGAAATGCACTGAGTGAGCTTTTAAGGTCCTTTTTCTTCAACGGTTCTGAAATGTAAATATAAAATCGATATACCAAAGATCATTGCCTTGTTCTGATAATGAAATGTTTTAATTCCCCAAGAAAATTGTAATCAGCTCAGAAGTATTTTTGTCGTAATTGATGAAAATAAGCAACTGTTGACCAAACGACACCAGCATCCAAAGTTTTAGAGTAATCACAGTAAATACATTTTACAAAATTTAGTTTATGCTAATTTTTTTTATCCTTTTTACAATTGTCACACCACATATTATATGTTGTTGTTGTACTCACAAAGTACAGTTAATGAAACAGACAAAAATGCATTAAAACCATAATAGTAAATTAACCATGGTTTCGGTGACTGTAAAAAAATATTTGTCTTTGTTTGAATTTGGCAGTTGACAAATTGTGATTTTGAATTTAGATTAATTTTTTTGTATAGTTATGGGGTGGGAATATCACCCGTTTCAACGATATAACCCAGACACTAAGTCCCGTAAGTGGGTCCAGACCCCATGGCCATTTTTTACGTGTGCCCACTGACAAGATATAAATCTACCTTGGGCATAATGAGATGGTGTGATATATACGCTGTCCAGGTTTCATAACCCTCACTCTGTTGAGACGGTTTCTGGGTGAAGGAGGGGCAGAGAAGGATAACTAAAAATGTCCCCAGCATGGCCGACTAATACCCCTTGCTCCCCAATCAATCAATGGTGTAGTGTGTTACTCTGTTGACCTTCCTAAATATGTTTTATTTATGTTTCTTCTGTCCTTTTTATCTCCCTTTCCACTATCACGTCTTCCTTGTCTGGAGAGGTACTTTAGTATACGTGGCTAGATATATCTCGCATTACAAAATATCAATATGAATGATAATGTCATCAATATATTGTCATATATATTGTCGGCAGATTGTCAGGGCTTGTGTAATAGATTAAGAGAAAAGATGTATTTTCGTACTTGAGAGAGAAAAAATATTACTGTTTACAGGACACCCACCGTTTACTGCTGAACAGGAAAATATTATCAGACCTGAGTGGGGGTATTCCGTCTATTTTAGTTCTTGCATATCTAACTCTCGTGGGTTGGCAATTCTTTTAAATAATAATTTTGAAGCTAAAGTACATAAGGAAAAGAAAGATCTTGGCGGAAACTTTATTGCTTTGGACATAAGTATGGATGGGTCTAGGACAACTCTTATTACACTCTATGGACCTAACCAGGATACCCCGGACTTTTTTAATCAAGTTATTGAGACAATAGATAGTTTGGGGAACGAGAAAATGATAATTTGTGGGGATTTCAATCTAGTTTTATATCCGTCAATAGATTACGATAATAACTATAGACAAATCAACAATAGCACAGCTATAGATAAAGTATTGGAATTTATTCAAAACATAAATCTGATAGATATCCAGGCGCTATACTTGGCGAAGGGTAAATTCAGTAAAACAGGCTAGATTAGACTTCTTTCTTATTTCAGAATCTCTATTATCTAGTGTTAGTAAGTCTAGGATAGAACCAGGATATCGATCTGACCACTCAATTCCAGTTATATCTTTAACTTTGAATGAATTTTAAAAATGGAGTGGTCTTTGGAATCTTAATAACTCTCTGTTGTATAAATCTGAGTACTTGGATTTAATTGTTTACCCATCTATACTCTCTTAACCGCATTCCTGATTGTGAACTACAATTCCTGATAAATGTATTATTAACATATCATTAGTCTTATTATTCATTGCAATTCAAATGTGTCATTATTGTTGTAGCTACATATAGGTGTTGTGAATTAAGGAAAATTCTTAACAGACAAAATATTACTTTACAAGTAATGTTCCGAAGCTTAGCACAATTAGTAAACACCTTATAAAATACTGGGGTCCTACCACAGTTAGTCCCCCTTTGGCTAAACGCTTGTAAATATCAAGCTCAGCATGTGCAGTCGATACATCCGAAATATTCACAACACCAGACCTTGTCACTTTGTTCTCCTATTGTACAGTTATATATCTGTTTTGTTTTTATTTTGATTATGTCTTCTGAACCTAAGATTTATATGTAAATCAGAGTCAAATCATTTCGAACAGTCAAACAATCACTTGTTCAAACCAGAAATTATGGCGTGTGTACTCATTGTATAAACATAGAAATACATATTCCTACATGTAGCTGGTAGCCGATACATTTGAATTAAGCAGTTATTAATGCTTTCTAGCTATACAGAAACTTTATAAATCATGGCTTAGAAAGTTTATTTTGCAATAGTCTCCTTGAGCTTTGTCAAAATAACCATATATATATCGATTCTTAAACCGGAAGTCAAATGATTATACCGGAAGTAAGATTGCCAATCGGAAGTAACAATATAAACCGGAAGTAGATGTCACATATAAACAATCCTGTAACGTTACATGCTGTAGACTTCTTTATAATTCATCTTTACTGTATCTCCATTACATATACTGTATTACATATTGTATACTACATGAATGTACTTTGCATGTGTAAAATCTTGACTTCTACTTGGGACGAAATAAGTAACATCAACTAAACAAGCTGTCTCCTTGCTGTTTTACAGGTCCTCATCTCTTACCGAATTAGTTATCATCAGTTATACAACAACAAAAAAAAAGGATCACACGTAACTATGCTGCCACCAAACACCAGTTATTTCCCTTACCAAGACTGGACGATGTTTTTGATGTAGTAGGGACATCAGGTGCACAATACTTCACTACCCTAGACCTAGCCTCTGGGTTCTGGTAGATTCCTCTGGATCCAGAAACAGCACACAAATCTGCATTTGTTACACCTACAGGTGTGTATCAGTGGAAGCGAATGCCATTTGGCTTAATAAACGCTCCTGGCAGTTTTCAGGCCCTTATGACAAAAGTACTGAAAGGTCTAAACATGAAAACATGCCTGGTGTATGTTGACGACATACTGGTGCATTCTCGAACATTTACGGAACACATCAAACATTTGCAAATCTTACTCTAAAACATAGTAAATGTTCATTCGCACTCTCCGAGGTTCATTATCTAGGTCATGTCATATCCAAAGTCGGGGTTAAGGTTGATACTGTCAAAACAGATGCAGTCTGGTCATTCCCCACACCTTTCAACCAGAAACAAGTTAGGTCTTTCCTAGGCTTATGAAATTATTACAGGAAGTTTGTAAAGAACTATAGCCAAATTATCCTTCCCCTGACTGAACTTCTTAGAATAGATAAGCAATTTGAATGGACAACTGAAAGCTTTTGATCAGTTAAAAGAAGCATTAACATCACCCCCAGTACTTGCAAATGCAGATCACTCTAGAATGTTCATCTTACCAACAGATGCATCAGGTGAGGCAATTAGTTATGTACTAGGACAACTGGACAACCACAATAGAGAGTGACTAATCTGTTATGGTGGTAGAACTCTAACCCAATGTCAGCGTAAGTATAGCATTTCTGAAAGAGAAGGTCTTGCCATTGTTGAGGGCATCAACAAATACCATGTGTGCTTAGCAGGTAAAAGGTTTAGAGTTTACACAGATTATAGTGCTTTAAAATGGCTTAAAAACATCAAACCAGAATCTTCATGAAGGCTTGCTCGTTGGGCAGTACTTTTACAAGGCTATGAGTATGAAATCGACTACAAATCAGGACCTAAAACCCAGGTAGCTGATGCTCTGTCCAGAAGGCCATACCCTGTCACATCAACAACAGAAGTAGCAGATTCCCTTCCTAGTACAGAAAATGTTAGCATTTTCCTATCTACTGATTCTTCTGCCCTCCAACAGGTAACCTTCCTTTACAATGACACAGACCAAGTTGACAACTCTGAAATAATCGCAGAAATAAGTGATCCTGTGAATAATACAATCTCCAAGGTAACTGTCAGGATCAAGATCTATCAATACATAGCATCAGGTGCATTACTAAAAGATAAGGTCAGTGCTAATAGAGTATTATTTCAATCAAATCAATATGTCATGCTAGATGGTATCTTGTATCATATGTATTAACCACGAGGTAAGACATTTCATGACCACAATATACGTCAATTGGCGGTACCAAGATGTCTCAGAGAGGACGTTCTTCGTTCTTATCATGATTGCCAAGCTGGTGGCTCACATCTATACATCTATATGAATCAACAGTACAACTTCATCTTGGCCACGAGTATTGGTCACATACATTTGAGATTCCTCTGCCAAAGCCTACGTATCTTTCAGAAGTACTCAAGTGTCAGTGTCGTATGTGTGAGCCAGCTAATCCTGTCATCAAAACACTTAGCTTAGGACACAATGTATGGCAAATATCAACGCCACAGTTACAAAGATTAGCAGACTGATTCCACATTTCCCAACTTCCCTTTCTTTTGATGGAAAACGCTCAAAACGTGGATTGTTCAACTTCTTTGGTGATATATCTAAATCTCTATTTGGAACTGCTACATCAGCTGACTTTGACAACCTTAAACAACATATGCAGATTTTGAACAGCAATAATGTAAAACTTGCTAAGGCTATGGCAAAAGAAGCACATCACCTAACATCATTTATGTCCACTGTGAATGACAGATTTGACAACATTGTCACTGCTGTGAAACAAAACAATGATCAAACCGAGACACTATCTAAACAAATCACTCATGCTTTAGATGGCTTACAACATGAACTCATTATCTTGGAAGACATGATGATGCATCAGGTAAATGCATCAGCATTACTTGACAAACAATGACCTAGCAAAAAGTAAATTGTTTCCCTTTATCATTTCACCAAAAGTGATAAAGTCAACATTGAAGAAATTCAAAGCATTATGTCAAGGAAATACACAGGTTTCAATGTCATCCATCTTAACCCCTTGCATTACTATTCTTTTGCTATTTTTTATATGTAAGACATCATTCAGTGTTGTACATTTTATTGAAGGTACCAATCTCCTCATTTGTTCAATCCTTAATATTATTTACGGTTTATTCATTTCCAGTACCTGTCAATGTAACATCAACACAGGCAACACAGTTAACAGACACACCAGACTACCCTATCTCATAAACAACTGCAAATGTGCTCTGTTCAGGATAAGGACATTTATTATTGTCCATTTCATGTTGCTCCATCATCAGTGGCCAAAGCCTCATGCATGTCATCAATATTTTACAATCAAAAAGAAATGATAAAATAAATATGTGATTTCAGATTCCTCCAAAATACATCAAAATCTTCAGTGATAGTGGTGTCACCATCAAATTTTACAAGTTGTCAATGCTAGCTCTAAACTGTCCCAGTGGTCAGAAAATTATCAAAAGGTGTAATTTTTGTGTACTTAGTATACCATGTCAATGCTCGGTCACATCAGACAATCTTTTTATACCTCCAAGGTTAGGTAAATGTAAAAATGAAACAAAGGAAATTTCGATGTTACATCCAGTAAACCTTGCACTTATTCAGTCATTCTTTGATCCACCTGCTCATTCTTCAATTCTAGGACACACCATGTACTCAAATGTTGTCAATGTTTCAATTCAAAATATTAAAATATATAACCACTCATTTTTGGAA